CGAAAGTGGCATTCTCAGCACCGACACCAATGACGAGCATGTCGTAGGGGATCTCAGTCTGAGAGTGAGGGCCCTTGCCCTCGGTGTTGTCCTTGATCTTGACAACCTTGCGGTCAGGGTCAACAGAGGAAGCCTCAGCTTCGTAGTACTTGACGGCACCCTTCTTGTGGCGGAGGATAGTGCGGACAGGTTCCATAATGGAGCGGTGCTCAATGAGACCTGTTGTACATGAAGGCAGGAGGGGAGTGAAGAGGAAGTAGTTGCGAGGAGAGACGACGATGACATTGTAGTTCTCGGTGTCGAGGTTCTTCAGGAGACCAACAGAGCCCCAACCGGATCCTAAGGAAGAGTATTGCGTCAGTAACTTGGCATGGTATATAGGAGGAGCGCCTGCGCGCCGAATTACTCACCCAAAACGACAAGAGTCTTCTTGGAAGGGTCAGGCTGGTACTGCTCTTGAGGGTGACGGTCGTCGTAGATAACGTAACATGTGTAACCAACGAGAGCACCAAGAGAGAGGTATGTGAATCTCCATGTCCATCGGAGGGTTCGTCGAATCTTGCCAGGCTTGGGCTTGGGCTTGGGCGCCTCGTCAGCATAGGCTCTTCGGAAGGCAATGCGGCCAGAGTTGTTGAGTTTCATGGCGATAGAAGGTCGAGCAGAGGTTCTGGAGGCAGTAGAAAGGGCGCGAGTCGCAATGCGACTGCTGGGGCCCAACTGGCCGACCCGGGAGAGGGCCGTCATGGCTCGCGCGGAGGAAGCCATTGGGAGGATCTGGTAGAGAGGAGCTCAATTGAGAGCGATTGGAGGGAGAAGGAGGGAAAAGAAGAGGAAAGAAAGAAAGAATAGAGGACACAGACTGAGAGTCTCTGGACCAGATGAGGGCGTCGCGAGCGGATGGGGCTGGTGACGGACGGAGGTGAGTCGAAGGAGAATCAGTCACAACCCACGAAAGAGGGCGAGAGAATTTAGGTAGTGTATGTACAAGAACTGGACCTTATTAGGTGCGGTACGTAACTTAGCGTCTAGACAGTGAGTGAGCGAGTGAAAAGAGAGACCCTCATCGGCTGGCCGGACACAAGGTAACTAGGGTGTAAGAAAAGATGATGGCATAGTTCTATTCGGTAGTGTTTGGTTTCTTTTTTTGCTCCCATCCCGTCCTGTCCTGTCCTGTCCCCCTCGAGATAAGACATCCCGCCTTCCATTTTCTTGCTTGTGTTTAAGGCTCCACTAAAAAGTTCAGGTTCCCTGCCCGTGCCTTCAAGGCTTCAAGCTTAGCGGAGCGGGTCAGCGTGGGCTTCCGTCCTCAGCTAAAAGCTACGGGTGCTGCACGGCCCTGAATGACGCCCACTGAACGAATGAATAGAAGAGATCATCTTTGATTTGGGCTGCCAAATGATGGATTTCGGAGTTGACAACTCGTGGTTACAAGAAGAGTCACGGCTTCCTTTCCGACATCTTCTCGTATTACAACTTTTCTCCCGTTTTGGCTTGTGATTATCACTTATCACTTCTCGTCTCCAAATTCAGACTCCAATAACCCAATCCAATGGACCGGACCGGGTTCAACCCCGATCCGCAGCTTTGGTTCAGATAAAAGTAGCAGTGCAGTTAAAATTGGGGTTGATTGCTCATTCCAACACCTAAAATTTTTGTCAACCTTTGCCCTCTACCTCTGGCCTTTCGCCTTCTGGCCCTTGGCGTGTCCGGCCCGTTATGAAATCAGCGAAACTCCACTAACTTACCGAGCAAACCCCCTGTATACAATTCTATTTTTTTCTAGTATCATGACGACTGGTGACAACGTCAAAGTGAAGGAGGCGGGTTTCCCCTCCACTGCTCGTGATAACTCGGTCTGATGCTATCAGAACAACGTGCATAATTATGTCACACCATCACTACCACTACATACCACTCAAACCACTATTGTCTATCTTTGTTCCGCTGCGTGGTCAACTCGACATAAATCTCGGTGTCTCTCCGTTTCCGGCCGTCCGGGTTGCCTTCAGCAGAGAAATGTGACATTGGCATTCATTGTGGACTGCTCGATCCTTGAAGCCTTTTGGCGAGTGATAGAGCGCATGAACAGCAAACAGCCTTGTCATGAAAGACTGATAGACATATTACGTATACTGTTACTTTATCTCGGCATCCGGAACACGGGAACACCAAGTATCCAATATCTTGCTTTTTATGTCCCCTATTTTGATTCCCTGAGGCAGTCCACGCTGCAATGTCCATTTTATGTGTGCCAATCAAATGCGGTTATTCCCTGGATCTCAAGCCTGCAGATGGAAAAACCCCGACCCTGAAGAATAGGAGCCTGTCATCCGTCGGTGAAAACCCGGTTTCTCGCGCTCTCATTTCTGATTTCTGAGCTCAGTGTTAGGAGATACCGCGGTGTATCGGTGAGGCTTTTAACCGTTGGCGCGGATTAGTCCACCATTGGATACAGAGCGAACGATATTAACCGTAAGAACTCCAAGTGCTCATGCAGTAGAGATACATAGTTGAGGGCGGTGCCTGTAGGAAAATAAGATGCGCGATTTGGTCTCGTTTGGGAAGCTCCTAGCGCATTCACATGTCGCTAACAGCCTCTCACTTACAAGATACGCGGTATTGCCCAAATAGGTGTTACTGGTAATTGTGAACGACGAGCGAATGGTAGATTTGCCGCTGTAATTGGGTCGCAATTCATGACAGACGGTATTGCCTTATATCTCTCATCCCGCCCTTCTGAGTAATTGCTCGATGTCTTGCTTACCATTTGCTGGTTGCTGACCAAATTTGGTGGCTTGGGTTTTCGATGTCTCTCGTCTCGTTTTGCGTGGGGTGATGACTTGTATCAAAACACCATCGAAATATTTCTCCCTCACCCAACCTTATCATGTGAAATCTAGATGAAATATGTAGTCCCCAGATCTTGACGTGATTCTCGTACTATACCCCGGAATCAGATAAACATTGGGGGTCGTAGTGCATCCCTGACAGCTAGTCCATCTCGGAGCCGCAGTCACATCTTGTCAACCTTACATCCGTAGAAGCGCACACAACTCATATCTCACCATGAACCCCAATCCGAACCCTTAAACAGAGCTCACTCCCCTTTTCTGTCTAGTGGCCGCCGTGCTCGCTCCCTTGGACCGGGTGGATCTCATCGTGGAGCCTCAAGAAGAGAAAACGTTCATGTCCGCAAGCGCGCTAATGACGGATCCGCGCTTCTTCAGTGCGTTCTGTTCATGATGATGAACATGGACATGGGCGAGGTGTGTGATTGGAGCGCGTTTTCAAGGGGTCGTCGGTGAGCGAGCACGGTGAGGCAGCTGAAGACTGCGTCTATTTCAACTTCAAATGACATTTAGTTTGTGCGTATCTGGGATGTGGTGATGGGGGCAAGATCTTGCTAGCCCTCTATGGGGACGGCCACTCGGTGAATTTCCCCGACACTGATGAATGCGATTGGATGTTTAGTATTATCAAGAGCGTCTTCGTTCATGACGGGGCATGTGACGGATTTCCTTTCTGGGTCATCCTGCCAGTTGCAAGTTTATTGTGTTGTTTGATGATAAAACACTTCTTCTTCTCGAAACGCTTGTGACGACATGTCTAGTGGTCATGATGGCTGGAGCAGCAATGGATAATTGCCTGTATCCACTACAGATGGAATCTGGAACTGACGCAAAAGCTTTTTCAAGGGTCCATCAAATGATGACTTTATCCACAAATGATTTAACATCAAACATCCACTCTGAGTCTTCGATATCGGACCGTCTTGCATGCGCCATGAATCGCCGACTTTGGTGGCGGGAACCGGCATTCGATGTGCAAACCCCAGATGAGGCTGATGGAAACGATAGCCGGAAAGGCAAGCCGATATCATGAGACTCAATGTGTCGAAGGTTGAAGATTCCGAAGCAAAACGAGCTTCAGATTGTTGAGGGTGTCTCGAGTTCGGGCATCTGAAGCAGCATAGCCAACCACCTGTCGATCATTGGAACCATCAGACATGAACTTCATCTGATGATGATAGCATGAGCGTTAATCAGCATCATATCATTTATCCTCAACTGCATAACCCGTCAAAGAGGATTGAATCCTTTGTTAATAACCAATCTATCACAGAGAACCCAATTAATCAAGAACGAGCAGTAATGACCCCCCTGCATGACCAGTCTTCATCAATCTCTTGCGACAGGCTGAAACAGGAGCTTGACTTTGAGACGTGCAACCCCTGCCGCTAGAAACCTACAAGCTGAGGCCACCCGTCACTAACACATATGCAGCCATTTCTGCACCAGCCCTGTTAGCGCATCAACGATGGGCTACCATGCTTCCATCCTGAATCTCAGTTCTTGGGCAAAGAAGCGACACCAAGCGTTTTCAAACAGCAGACAACGACTCTTGAACTGCCAGGTTCGGCTTGAATGTTTCGTGTTACTGCTCACATCGTGCCCCTGAACCCTGAGATCGCCTTGGCTGTGTAGATGGGGTTTACACTTTACCACCGTTTATGGCTGTCGGATCCTTGTCTTTATAATGTATCATATCGTATCGTATCGCATGTATAATGTAACTGTTGATCGTGTCTCATCCCACGGACCAGCTCCAGCTCTAACGTTAGAGGTTCCTCGCGCTTCACTTCCTCTCTCGTCCGTCCGTCCTCTCATCTCTCTTCCTCCTCAATCAGCAGAAGCTCCATTTCTCGCTTTTTGCATGTCATAAACCGCCAAGCCCTTATATTCTTTCCTTTGTCCTTCTCTTCCTTTGCTCTTGATCAAGGCTGGACCTTCGTTTGAATAACACCTTCTTTTATCTGATCAAGTCAGTGACTTGCATCATCAAAACACTCATTTCCTGATACCCAGACTATTCATCCAACGCCTTGGGTATCCAAATCATATCATATCAAGACGTACCAAGACATATCATGTTATAGAGACCCTTGGTTCATTAAAACCTTTTGTTTATAATCAGCACGACTCAGAATACCTACTGCGGCAATGGCGCCTTTTGATGAGCCCCATCACCTTCGGTGGCAGAGACAAGCAAAGAGGGCTTTTGGTGCGACTCTGCCGGATTGGACCATCGCCGATGACAGCGACGACTATGATGTTCACATTATGAAGAAGCGACCAACAAGGCTGAGGGTCAGACGAAGCAATGTTCCAACTTCATCCAGAGAGCCTGAGGTCATGATCAACATCCTAAGGGAGCCTTATGCCAAACGAACCGATACTGTCGATCCTGCGACTGAGAAGCAGAAGCAGGACGCGAAAAAGGAAGAGAGTAGCGACAGTGAGAGTGAAGGTGACGACGCAGCCGACAGTGGAAGTGAGAGCGAGAGCGAAGATGAAGATGAAGAGCCCAAGAAGAGTCAAGAAGACCGAACCGGCGACGACGGCAACCTCAACATCAAATTGCCTGCATCATCAACAAACTCACCATCAGTCGACGCTCCATCAGCTGAGGGAAGTATGTCGGACTCTCCTTTGGTAAGTCAGATCCTTGACCCGCTGGCTCATCATGTCCAAGTTGTTTCGGATTGAAAGACATGTCAAATGCAATGCAATGCAAATTCGGTCTTGCTAACTCTTCTACAAAGGTCGAAGGTGGTGATGGCATCCACTCCAATGTTCACAAGATCCTGCTGGGTGTTGGATCCGTCGGTATGCTCTCTCTGTCCACCTCACCTATAACATTACAGACTGCTAACACGATATCAAGGCGGTTTTCTATTCCTAATTGGAATTGGGTTCCTCATTTGGAAGTTCTACTCAAGGAAGCAGACCCCAAAGAAGCCTGCTCCCATTGATGACATGAACTTCGACAAGCCCAGCCGCTTTGAGAACCTCGTTTCCAAGGTGCCTTTCCTCGGACCACGCTACGGCCACAAGGGCTGGTACACAATTGAAGATCCATCCTACTCCCCTCCGTCCTACTCTCCGCCTCTCGCTGAAAAGACACGGCCTCAGTCACCACTCTTCATGTCTAAGCAATCCGACAACTTCCTCACAGTGCCTAGCCTACCATTCGGCGTTTATCGTACGACTGGCGACAGAAGGACAGGGGTTACAAACTATGACATTGACGCTGTCAGCCCTACAAGCACAACCTTCGTCGAGAGCGCTGTTGAGGTCCAGGTCGTGGCTCGTCACGATCCCAAGGACTCTTTGAGCACACCTTACAAACCTCAGCAACACAAGCGAATCCCCTCTACCACACCATATGCCTACGATGTCGGACGACGTCAGACCGGTGTTAGCGAACTCTCCTCCATCTCCTCTGGCTTCGGTGACGGCGATATCGTCGTGACGCCTACCACTCAGACTGTCCAAAGTGTCCCATCGCGACCAGAGCCTTCACGACAACCCACATGGAAGTCTACCAACTCTGTTGGTCGCCGTGACACTGTATCTACAGTAGCTTCAGTCGATACACGGCCACGCTTCCGCTCAGTGAACTCATGGGTGAAGCAGCAGAATGGGCAATTGCGACGAGCTCAACGACAACAAGAGAACAGCCTTGATAGTGACGCTCCCCCAGTTCCTCCTCTGGCCCCCCCTCCTGAGCAGGACTTCAGATATATGTTGCAAGACGATGAGAGACCACGTCCAGTGGAGATGGTCTAGGATGGGTTCGGGAAACATGCATGATATATAGAGGCACCTTTGAAAGGAGTATGGCTGGACCAGGCGTCAGATACCTACATTGGATTTTGTGACATAAACAAAGAAACATATGGAGCCAAGTGTATACTCAATTCTATGTCTATTAATTGATTGATCTAGTCTGCTTCTCCGGTTTTTGTGTCTGTGTATTGACTTAGGTCTGCTGGGCAGGAAACATCTCCCAAAAGCCAATTTCCATCTAAATCGTGTTAGTCAAAGGTCACCACTACAGAGGACGATAATATACCTTGAGGGCATGGATAAATATCTGAACCAGCTCTTCAATTCGCGAAGGTGACTGCAGTTGAATTTGCTTTTCGAGCAAGGCTACATCTTGATTAATAGATAGATACTCGGCGAAACTGAGGGAGACTCACCAGAGCCCAACTTGACAGCATCAGTGTAATCCTCTTCATTGTAGTTCTTGATCCACGCCCAGTATGTGTTTCCCTCGCGGACGGTCTTCTCATGGTCATGAAGCATCTTAGCTGCGGCACCATAACCAAGAAGGCATGGAGCAAGAGCCATTTGAAGACCAAGCCAATCGCCGCTCTGACCAACATCAAGGACATAACGAGTGTATGCGGTGCAGGCTACAAAGAAAGTCAGAAAAAGATCACCGTACATGAACCTGCTTGAACTTGCCCTGTTTCTCGGGTGTGGCACGAATTTGCTCGATGGAGACGCCGAAGCTCTCACAGTATGAGGTATGAAGCTTCAGTTCATGCATGATATGCTGAACAATTTCTGTTGCCTATAGAGAGGTCACGAGATTGCGTATAGCATAGGGTCAAGTGAACATACTCGAGAAATATCTTCAATGTTTTGCGCCTTATAGGCAGCCAGGGCGTTGGCACGTGAAAAGTGAATCTGTAAATAATGATTAGCTTGGGATCATTACATGTTTTGAAGGCGAACCAAGTATAGGTAATCCTGAATAATATAGCCCTTGAAGGACTCGAGAGGCAGAGTTCCGTCACCCATAGCCATGACGAAGGGATGGTAAACAAACTCCTTCCAGACGTCGCGGACATCAGGGCGCTCGAGAAGCCACTCGATGAAGTAGCCGCTGTTCATCGAGTTAGTACAACAAAAGATGGTAAAGCTTTCTGAACGTACGGAGAAAATGGGAGAGTATAGGTCGAGTGGAAGTGGTTAAGGGGACCATGCCCTTTACCAAGACCAGGCGCTGTTCGAATGGCAGTTTCAATGTATCGACACGCTGATCGGACAGCCGTTGGTGTATCAAGACCCTTGGCCAAGTTTGATGCGATGGCCGCTAAGAAATCACTTAGTATCAGACCAGTTTTCTTCAGCAAGTTTGTCACTTACACGCCAAGGAGCATCCCGTGCCATGGGTACTTGAGCTTGCCTGGTACGGGCTTTTGACTCTCACAACCTCACCATCACCACCAACAAGAACGTCCACAACAACACTCTTCTCTTCCTCAGTCTCGGCCTCAGTCAAGTCCTCCTTCATGGGTCGGTGTCCGCCCTTGACGAGCACCCACTTAGGACCCAAGGCTTGGATTCGTTGAGCTACAGTCTCAAGGTCTTGCACACTGCGAACCTCGGGGGCTTCTTGACCATTTTGAGAAAGGATAAGAATAGCTTCAGGAATGTTTGGTGTGAGGACCGTAGTGTGCGGCAGAAGGTGTTTGCAGAGATGTTGGATGGCTTCATTGGGGAGGAGTGTTGCACCAGAAGTCGAAACCATGACCTCGAAGTTCATTGTTAGAAAGATTCAGAAAGAGATATAAAGTGAGAACATACTGGATCCACGACAAGCGAAGGGATGCTATGCTTAACCATGGTATTTGCAACCATCTCTATTGTCTCTGTAGAAGCAAGCATGCCTATCGAGGTGTTGGTCATTGTGCAGCACGGCGAAATCGCTGACCAACTCACCAGTCTTGACGACATCGACACCGACATCTTCAACACAAGCATCGATCTGCTGAGATACAAAATCGGTGGGAATGACATGAATGCCCTTGACGCCTTGAGTGTTCTGCGCAGTCAGCGCCGTAGTGGCCGTCATAGCGTAGCAGCCATGAGCAGCAATGACTTTCTGATCCGCTTCAAGTCCACTAATGATTTTCCGTCAGCATATATTGCGATTGAACATTGAAGAAAAAAAGAAAAAAAGAAATAAAGAAATCATGAAAACGCCTTCAAAAAGCTCCATCATGCCACTCTGAATATAAGGAAAACTATACTTACGCTCCACCCGAACTGTCCGACCCCGCGATGACAAGCACTCGCCCTTGTACCATGATGAAGATTATCTTCAGGAGGGGTTGAAGAATGACCAATACGATGGATCTACTAGGAAAAGATGTATGATATAGGTGTCGTGAAGGAGCAATTTGGGCCCCGATCGGAACTGAGCTCGCTCTTAATCCCGCGTTCGGTTACTCATGGAAGCGGCGTTGGTTGGTATTGGCAGGCGATGTTAATGGCTCTGGTGGGGCCGAGTAATTCACCGTCATCATAATTACAAGTCGTACATAAGATACATACCTTACATTATCAGGTCATGATGTTACTTACTTACCTGACTTATCTGCTCCCTGGACCCTAAAAATTCACCGGCTAAAAGTAAATTCGGCATATTTACTTAACCGGTTCCTCGATATCATGAATCCTTGGCGTAGACTGATTTGTAGTTTGGGTATATGATGATGCTACTCGTAGTCGAATCAACCAAGTAATCCTTTGATATCTTACTACAATATCCTCAACCTCACTTGGTCTCGGTCCAAGAAGCCCTCTCGGATAAAATCAGAAGCATCCCTTCTTCAATGTTTTGCCCAAAACTCCATGATCCAAAACCCAGACCAGACCAGACACCAATGCGCTTTACAGCAGCTACTCCTCACAAGGATATATACAGCTCGAGACCCGCCTGCCACCCTTTGACGTGCCATCATGATTCTTGTCATTGGTATCGTGTAGTTGAAGCTTTCCAACGTCATGTTGCTTTTGGCTATGTAGTTATTTTATATCTTCGAAATATCATTGCCCATGTCTCACCTCCTCAACCTGAGAGGAGCTGGCGTAAGATCTGGTGGCGGTGCCGGCGGCTCGCTGATGCTCCGTTGCCTCTCTGTCCTGTCATCCCCGGAGCTATTTTCGCCCTCGCCGCTTTCTTCTTCACTTTCCTCTTGGCTGTTATCGTCGCTACTGTCTTCATCTTCGTCATCCTCCTCCTCATCGAACACTATTTGCCGCATCACGTTCTTGTCAAACAAATCTATAACCATCCTTCTCACCCCTAACCGGTAGTGGTTCCATTCCATTGCGCTCATCACTTCCTTGAAGAACTGTGTACTTTTGAAGGCGCTTGGTTTGTGTGCCCGCAGCTTCTGGAGGTCAGTAAGCGCCTTCTTGTAGAGGACCATATTTCCTAGGTCCACGATGAGCTCCAGGACTCTTCTGTTAACATCCGCCTCGCTCAACATAGCAGGTATTTCTGCTGGCTCAAGAGGTGGTCGAGCGGCGCGAGGAGGTGGTGCCTCCTGGGCTGTCCGTTGACTTGACGGCAGGGTGATCGACGTTACCGTCTTTTGTTTCCACGCTGTCAGTGATAATAACCTTGATAGGTCATTGGGAATGCAGAATCCAAGCGAGGTACCCATTGGTGTTGTGTTGGCATCCCATCCATGCTCAGATAGGATCTCCAGACCATGCGTAGAGCGAGAAATCAGACCAAGAACGAAGAATGCAGTGCCCCTTAGACTCATCACCTCATGCGTCTCGGCAATTCGAATGATATGCTCTACCACGTCGTTAGATTCCAAGAATGGTGCTCCGAGTTCCATGGACCCAACGTTGCCAACAGCCCAAAGGCAGCCCTTGACCTTCGTAAGTATTTCTGCATCTCCCTTATCCATGCCATGCTCACGGATCGTAGCTGCAAAATCCTCAAAGTGACCTTTATCACTTAGCAGCCTACATCCCTCCTGGGTACGGGTCAACTCCCGATAAAAGTGCGGTGGTACATGGTTATCATGGTAGTCCCCATCCATCTCACTGTCATCAAATAAACTCATGCGAGGATTGTGCTCGTCGGGATCAACGAGGAATGCTCTGGCCAAGCTTGCCTCTATGACCCTGACATATGTATCGTTCCGTCCCAAGAACCAGTCGTCCATTTCGTTACTGATGTAATCCAGTCCATCCAGATAATGGTATCCGATGGATGTTGATAAGAACCGTAAGAGCAGCGGTGCTCCGATTTCTCCCAGATGATCAAGAGCTGGCCGGCATTCAACAATATACTCCAGGTAGGTCTTGCGATTACAGGCTTTCTCCAAGATCTTCACAGCTGTAGCACAAACCTCAATCTCGGGATCGTAAAGCTGTGTTACCAGAAGCTGAATGGCCCATTTCGAGTCACTAACGCCACCCTGTCCGTTGGCTGATGGTACCGGCCGAATGGCGTATTTGCGAAGGGCATTCGTTGCATGAATTCGAATTTCCTTCGTACCGGCGGTTAAAGCTTTGGACAACAAGACTCGAGGATGGCCCTGGACGCTATAATCGAAGCTAGACAGAAGTAACTTGATGAGGTCGGGCCTCTGCTTCAAGTCCACGATGTGGTACATCATATTGAACATCCTCCAACGTTCCAGTAGTTGAAGACCTTTAGGATCGCCACTTAGAACACCAAGCATTGAGAAGTAGCCCGCGCAAAGTGTGTCAGTGACTCGATCTCTTGAGAACATTGGATACTGGGCTGTGAGGCCGCTAGTCTGGAGGAAGTGGTGTTAGTGATCGAGTTGAGGAAACTGTAATGGCATCAAGCCTTACCGGATCGCATTGTGCTAGACACTCAGCTATCTGTCTGAGCAACTTGCTGTCTGCCAAGAATTTGATTCCCTCGGGTGATTGAAGTAGAGAGTGCATCAGGGCACAACCAGCTCGGACATACTTCTGCGTGGCACGAGTGTTTTTGA